CGGGCAAACCCGTTATATATAATTAACATCTTCCCAACGCAAAAATACATCTTGAAAGGTACATCTTTATTATGAACATCGCCCCCATAGAGTGTATATAGTCCCCCCCGCTTTTCAAGGCCGAAATGGGACGGCCTGTTTTTGACACGGGTTTCTTGTTCTCCCGGTCGAACAGAGGGAAAACGACCCAAGAACACTGTTCTCGGAACAGGATCACTCCACCTCCTCGTCAGGGTTGTAGGCTACAGGAACGCACGGAAAAACTCGTGAGATTGGTTATAAAGCCAGAGCAAATGGAAAGTTTGAAAAACTAACATATATTATTATTTTTTCATAACACAGATTATAAATGTTTCTTTTTAAATGGAAAAGAATTTACCCAGTTATCCAAACATTAACTCTCGAAGAACGTACAAGGACATCGGCATGTTGCATGTTGCTTGCCACTCACTACCGATAACCGGTTGTACATGTACGTTCCTGGTGTTGGAGCGGCCCAGCCCCGATCAACAAATCGAGCTGTTCGTGAACATGCGAGAACAAGCTGCCCGACCTCATCCCAGATTTCTATGGTCGGGCGACTCATCCCCCAACCTTTCCCATCTCCCATTCCCAACACACAGATTTACGCCACTGATCGGGAGTATCCATTTGTTAGTGGCGATGCCACTGTATGTAACTCTTGGGTTTCCTAGTCGTTCGCGATACGCAGTTAGTGCCAAAAGAACCTCCGTTATCAAGGAAATAACGCCCTCTCTTGGTCCAGCTGAAGGTCCATTCCTCGAACAACATAATGAGAGTCTGCCACGATCCGTCGCTTGTCCCATAAGGACTCAGTGCGCAAACGGTTATGGAAGAAATATTTTACGTCAGAATTGACTGGGATTCTTTGCGGTTTAGTGCAGGGAGACTTGCAATTTGACCTACGTTTGGCAAACTGGTGCATTCAGTGGCATACCTGGGATGAAATTTCAAGACGGTACACCCGAAGGTGCTCTATTTTTCCAGGGCCAGTTCAAAGCAAATAAACTGTGCATCTCGTGTTAGTTTCAAGATTTCGGGGGAGGCAGCCAGGGGCACGACCATCCACTGGGGATACCTGCCCTCCCCCATGCCCCCCCCCCCCACGCATTGACAAAAGTTGTGTGTCACTTCTTTGCAGAGTCCAAGGTTGCCATGGTTCCCAAACGAGATAGCTCCTCATTCATTAACCCCGTGGATTTCTTGTGTCACACACGCCACCATCACCCGCAGTGTCCAGTACAACAGCTGGTCGAGGTCCAGATTCGGCTAAACTTGAAGAAACTTGAAACCGTCTGAGGAAAATTTCGACAAAACTGTCGGATTTTTAACTTCCACGCATCGAGTGCGCGTCATCCTCAGCTGTGCAGTTTAAATGGCTAACAAGAGTCTACTCAATGAGAATGTAGAATCCTTGGGCTGCCATCTCAGCTGGCCTGAGCTGCGCCCCTGTGTGGTAAATAAGGAAACCCTTCGGCGAGAGGAAGACATCCTTGCCAAGGAGAAGTGGGACTTCAACGACCGTCCAACGTACTACACAGCCGTCCGAAATCTACAAGGGTTCATCGCCTTCCACCTCAACGATCACCAGAGAGCCCAAGCGTTCTTCCAAGATGTCTTGGACAAGGATGAGAGAAACATCAACGCCCTGGGAAATTTGGCTTTCTTGCACAGAAAGCTCTGTCAGATGCACGAGTACTGGAAATACCACGGCAGACTCACTGAAATGTTATCGAGGAATTGTACTAAAGCTGAGAGAGCCATGGCCTATGCGGATAAAGCCCACGCTATTCGTTACCTCGAGCACAAACGTTGTTTTCGTTACATGAGATTTATCGAGAGAGCGGTGACTGTAGGTAGGGAGTGCAAAGGTCCACAGAAAGCAGAGTGGCTCTTTGACTATGCACTTGCTCTGTACAAGAGAGACTATCAGATGTTGTATCTCAGGGAACTTGCTGGTCAAGCTTCGTTTGTGCCGGAGCATTCTGAATGGTACTCTGACGAGCGGATTTTACGCGGATTCAAGGAAGCCTGTCGATTTTTCCTGGAGGTAGCACGCACCACTACCTCCATAGATTACCGAGCTCTGTCTTGGGTGTTCCTTGGAATCCTTGTCAATCACGACCCTAGAAACAGGAGCATCGCCGTGGCTTTCCCTGATCAGCCGGAGCTCCAACTCCTCACAGCTGCTGACTGCTTAGAAAAAGGCCTGGAGATGCACCCAGAGCATGCTATTCTCATCCGTAGAGTAGGCTCTGAATACGTCAAAGTTGGAAACTATGACAAGGCTAGGCCGTTGCTGGAAAAGTCCCTCAGTAAATGTGAATCGCAGTTCGTGTATCGATATCTAGCTGTCATGTTTTTGGGTATATATGAAAGAGGTGACAAAGAGTTTAGACGGACGGAAGAGGGCAGACAAATCCTTCAGCAGGCCGCCCAAAACTTCACCCGTGCTATCGAAATGAGACAATACCCTGCGGACTACTCCGACCTGGGGTATGTTTATGCCCTCCTCGGACGTCACGCCGAAGCCATCTCCAACTTCTCTCATGCCGTGGACAGTGAGCACGACCACTTCTTTGATCCAGTGCAGAACCACCAGCGGTGGGCTAGGTGCCTGGGGGAGCTTGACAACCAGGAAGGCAGCCGGCTGCAAGTGGCAGAGGCTAAAAGGGTCCGAGAGGAGATCTTGAGAACACCCCTTGCTGAAGATCAAGACTCGGCCTACTTCAACGACGACTTCGACTACTACAGCACCGTGGAGAAACCCAACTACGTGAGAATTCTCGAGGACTACCACTTCGTGGCACCTCCTCGCCCCGAGCAGAACAGCACGCTGCGTGAGTGTACCTACCGGTACGACTTCTTCGTGTGGCACGCGGACAGGGACAGTCGATGGGCAGAGGTTTTCGTGCAGAAGCTGGAGACGGAACACAGACTCGTAGGCTGCATGCAGTCAAGGGACGTCGAAGGTGGGCGGTACGTGTCTGAGGCGTTTGTGGATTGCTTGAAGTGCAGCTACAAGTTTGTGATCATCCTGACTCCACACCCTCTGGACCCCTCCCCCGACGACACCATCCCCAAGAGCGTGGGGTGGGAGCGGTTTGCCGTCGAACAGGCTTTGTTCGAGGCCAATAATCACAGGGGCGGGCCCCGAGAGTACATTTTACCCGTCGTGCTCCGTGACTGCTCCTTGCCGGTAACACTTCAGACGGTTCCAGCCATCAAGTGCAAAGAGGGCCAGATTCTGACGGAACATTGGGAGGAATTGGTGCGAAAACTCACCCAATCAGCACGGTGTTCTGACAATGTCTAATTATGCCAAATCTACTCGATTTGGAGAAATAGCCGCTCTCAGTCCTTAGCAAGTTATCACCGAGTGCGGTGTGTCATTTAATAAATCTAGGTTTGCTAATTCCGTTGCCTATCCTTGCATGCTGAACACGACTGATCTTCTCTGTGACGAAAAACTGAAGAAACAGAGAGCATTTTGCTAGCTTATTGCCATACCGTAGAGCACTTCCTGGTTAACAATGAAAGCCTAAAGATATCAGCAGTTACCTGAGTGTACAAACCAAGCTGGTAAGTAGCAATACCGCCCTCTTTTTAACAAATGTGGATAGCGTCCCCAAGCCAATGTATGAGGGGTATGAGCGGAAACCAGTTATCATGCCCCGCCCCCACACTCGTTCGGAGTAATCGTGATCAGAGGAAATGATCATCTCGACATACTTGGCTAAGTTTGCTTAACCGGTCAGCAGTCAACACCACGATCCCGGGAAAGGGTGTGGACCTTTTGAATAGAAACAGGCAAACGATAAAAGTTGAAACTGAAGTTCACACATTAATAAATTCTGGACCCCAGTATCGCAGGGAGNAACAAATCAGTTGAATTCCCACACTTGGTCCATCCAGTGAAGGGCGGCCATCTTTGAACAGTGAATGAGGTATCTCAGCATTAGCGCATTTCTTGCAAAGCACATGGTGCCCAATCTGTTAAATATATGTGGTCTAAACCAATAAGAAAATTCAAATCAGGAAACCACGGGAAATGTGTCCACCTATGTTGTGATACCCAAGCCACTTTTCCATGCAACCAGGAAGCAACCTGAGTCAGCAAAGCAAGCCGTTAATTCCCCTTGAATCGTGGACCAAAATAAAGCCAACAGAACAGGCTACGGGGAAGTTTGTGAGGGGAAGCGCGTCAGTACCGTAATCCTTCCTGCACGCAAAGTGAAATCATTTAGCGGCCATGCACGTCGGCCAGTGATGCCGGCTGCAGAGCGTGTTCTTGGCACACAAAGACCATGACGCCAGGGCGTTTTCGCACAGCTGCTCCCGGTACTAGCCTCGCCCTTCCAGTCGTTCTTCAGGCATGAACGCTTCTGCAACTCGTCCTCGGTATCGCGGGTTGATTTTAAACTCTCAAAACACCCTCACGCTTTCATCGAATTCATTAGACCTAAAGGTTATGTTTTTCATAGCTGCATGCGCTTCTTGGCATGGAGGCCAGTTTGATCAATCAAAACTCCATTAAAAAGTCTGTCAAAAGAGAATCTGACCATTTCCATTTGGAAGACACGTTTCTTTCTTTTTTATGGTTTACTTCGTGTCTTTGTTTTTATTTCCCGCCACACGGGAAGGAGACTTTTTCGGCAGTAAGCAATACCACTGATCACGAGAAGGCACGAAAATCATTTCGCATGCGCAAAAGCACTCTGCGTCAGCAAGCGACAATGTTGCCTTATGAAACTCGCAATACTATTGGTCACTGCTCTTTTCGTCCATTGAGTTAGGTTGTTTTGTTTTTCCCCTTTTTAACATTATCTATTCTGGTGACTTGGGCCTCGAAACTGGGAAATCCATTATGAGCACCAGTCAAGAGCACAGGCCAGCCGCTGATATGGTGACCTTAAGCGCACCCATCAGATCCGGTCGACGCCATGTTGATCACGTTGACCTGATTGACATCGGGGAAATGAAAAACTACCCGCTCTTCACTAGAAAAGTGGAGCATCGGTTTTCACAAACACATCACTTCTCGGATTCGAAGTCAAGTTTGCCGTGCCACCCGAGTGGTATTTGTGTACAGACATGGCCTTTTTGTAATTTGGGACTTTGGAGCAATTTGTCGGTTGAATTTTCTGAAAACCATTCCTAAAATAGATTTGACTGATTCGTAGGCGGTTTAAAGGAAACATTTGGTGGGTATTGTTAAAACAATACACGCAAGATCTAAACAGTTGTTTTTAAGTTCATTGGTAGTGAAAACAAGGTTGCAGTATTGCGCAGTTCGTAATGCCTTCACCATACGCACGAGGGCGCTATTTTGCTGTTGTCGCACAAGGCAATTCTTGTGCAAAAAACACAAGAACGGTGCAAAGACTGGTCCTACAAAATCACCCACCACCAACGCAAAAATATTGGCCGCTACTTTTGTCAAAACAGGCTGTTTAGCATGAAAACCATATGTAAAGTGAAAACCAAGCGTCAAGTGAAACTTACTCCATAGAAAATGCCGACATAGTGTGACATACATAATTGGACACAAAGCTACGGTGACACTCCTGTTCTGCCTTGTATGGCGTCACTCTTTTGCTTATGAATATGGAAATTTTCATCAGCATACTCTCCCGTTTACTACTGCAAAGGAGGTGAAAGGTCATCGTAAATAAAGCTGTGCTAAATTGAAATCATAAAAAATCCTATTATTATCCTAAAATGGCTGGGAGACTGGGCGGGTAAAGGGCCATTTGCTCCACCGGGATTTGAAAATTACCCACCCCACTGAAAGACCCCTTTTGGAACACATAATGTAGTGACGGATTAAAATCATGCGAGTCATTTTATAAAGAGAATTTCATGAGTCCAGCTCCCTTGGGCATTCGCCGCAACCTTCATGCAACCTAATTCCGGAAGCGAGAAATATCGCGTTGTTAGAAGCCGAAGCAAGGAAGTGTGAACATAATATTCCAACTGCCAGAGCTTTTGCTCGAGGAGAATAGTGACTGGATTGCACCTTTAATGTTCAAAGTAATTGTGAACATGAATGGTGCCGCCAAATGCACAACCCCGGTGATGCGATGGTCCAATGACCTTAACTGTGTCGTAACATTTTCTTAGTTCGTTGATGCACGTCGGACATGCTTTATGAATTTATATTAATTTGATTTTTTTTTCAGTAGGAATCCTTTTTTGTTATTGTTGATTAAAAGATCGGATATAAATTTCTATTTACATGACTGTTTACCCACGTTTAAGTTAAAGTGTGTTAATTAAAACAGTGGACATTATATGAACAATACACTTCCTAATTATAAAATCAACCAATCAACTAACTGATAATCTAACGATAAATACAAGCTGTGGGAAGCGTGCTGAGCTGAATCGCCATGTTGGACATTTTAGTGTTGGCTTTGATGAGAACTGCGTGTAATTTATGCAGGGAAAAGCAAATGAAACAAAACCAAAATTGACAGAGGCCGCCATAGTGTCCTTTAATTCGTAAAATTTGTTTCCAATTATGTTCGGGCTGCGCCGCGGGCAAACTTCACACCCTGGAGACTAGGTGACAGTAACGGGCGACGTATCACTTCATCTTGGATAATTAAAATATGTCATCCTGTAGAACACATTCTGAAAGGGCTCCCGCCCTGTAATTTTTGTTTAAATCGAGTTCTTGTCAAATGCTCCTTTGTGTCCCATATTCACTTGATTTTTAGTTTTGTTGTGCCGTTTTAAGGGCATTTTGGTAGACCTGCTTTCTATTTTGTACTCTTATGCTGATCTTTTTATTTATGCGAAAAATTCTGAGATCATCCCGGGATAGAAAGCCCAGAGTTACAGTAGTTTCCGTGCTAAACTCTTCCACAGTTTTTGCCTTTTGATGCCGGATGTTTTGTTTACTTTGGTGACTTGTTGCTGCTTCAGTTCATAAAAGTAGGCCGGTGAGCAGAACATTCCCATAAATATTTTAAATAATTCCATTGAGAAAGTTTTGGATTTCAAATTTGAACAGAATCCCTCTCCTCAAACGTCTGTTGGCATCACAGCAACAGTGATCTCATTGATCAGGAAAAGTTTCCAAAATTCTTAAATGTTTAATTTTAAAATGTTGACTTGTCAACAACGAGTCACCACAAAAGAATGTCAGTTTTCTTACATTCAGGAGGACTAGAAAGTTACACAAAACATCTTCCCAAGTGAAATTCCCGGTCCCTTTGAAGTCACACGGCCTCATTCTGTTTCCTTCGCCTCCCATGAGCTGAACATCTAGAGATCTAGTTGATAACATAGATTGGTTTTGTTTTAATTCATTTTCCGTCACTGGCGAGTTTCCACGAAATTGATGAGGAAGACAGGGTCCGACAAAAATCTTTACGGGTGGATGGTGAATCGTGTTCATTGTGTTGAATGGATGCATAGTGATTATAGAAGTGTACATCAAAATAACAGGGTCTGCCGCTGGGTACAAATCCAGCCCTTTGTGTGTCAATGGGAGACTTTGGGCGTTGGTGGCAGCAGACATACCAGTCCTTGCATGCTATTACGCATGCTCCGAGACGCGCATATATCAAAAGTACCAAAAAGGACTGATCTGTTTGCCGACTCCCAGCGTCTGGAAGTTTCCCATTATTTGGGGGCGGGGCAAAGATTGGTATCGTGCTGAATAATATTAGGAAAGCCTCTCCGTCATAGAATGAGAAAATTCGGAATTCGGTGTGATCGGTTTCCATTCAGGCACAGGCTTCCAGTGAGTTTTTTTGTGTGTGTGGTCGGTGGTTAGTGCACTGCCCGTTTTGAAAAACTGGTTAGCATCCTTCATTGCACATTTTAACGGCGGGATTTTGCTCTCGGGAAATCAGACAGCACCGTCTACTTCAGACAACATAAACAAGAAGCCTGGATTTTTCTTGTTGGGGGGTCAGACCTTACTGTCCATTGTTTATTGGCTTGCTCTATTATTGCAGAACCTCCGTTCCCGACAAAAAAATGAAATCAAGATTGGCAATGCTAAACCTGTATCGTGGGTGATTAAATTTATACCACCAAGCTCACTAATGTAAAGGGAGATTTACGGGGCGGTGGACATTACAATCAGCAGTACGAGCTTAATTGTCAAGCCGAAAAACTGGTCTCTAGTAATTGACTCTATTTTGCCGAAGGCCCCTTCTTGTTAGTAATGCTGCATTACAACGAGGAATCACATTAGTTCCAAGCGATGAAAAGCTGTCAACGTCTCCACCCGTGCTCGCTTATCAGCGACGCGATCCTTGGACAATCAGGTGGTCGTTTGTAGTCTTTTTTCCCCCTACAGCGGTAAAGTGGGCCAATGACTTTCAGATTGCAGCCCGAATGGCTTGCTTTACAGCTAAACTTAATATGGAAAAAGAAACAACCACAATAGAAGATTTATAACGTGCACATGAAATTGAAACCTGTGACAGGCTATCTTTTTTATATTACAGGTTTACGATAATTTGATGATATATTTTGTTCTATTTGTATTCATTGGCGAAGATCGCCCTCTATTACTCATGAAATTCCCAAGAAAGTCCCGCCAAAGCTATAAAATCTTAGGGTAAGATTTTCGAACGTGTAGTTTATATCCAGTATGTAAACGTGCAATATTCGGACAATCCCGGAATGGAGTTGGACCGAGACAGTTTTAATTAAAACAGTCCTTCCAATTCCGACCCTGTCACAAATTTGCATGAGTTTGCTTTCGCGCCAAGTATGAACGGACCTTCAACTGACACGCCGCGGCGAGCGAGGTCAAACGTAGTTCCAGTGAAAAGCTTCCGCATATAATTATTTCATTCACAAGAAATTCAGATAAGAATTTTCAAGCGTGCAAGACTCCGTCCCCATGGATACTGTGTCCAGGAAAACCCCTCCTCTCCCAGTCGTTGTGCTTTGACGTGATGAGCTTTTCCAGATAAGCCAGGCCACCGTCTAGAGTCTAGACATTAAGCAGTAACAGTTCAAATAATGTAATACATAGTCAAGCTGCCAGACCTGAGACACGAGGAATACACGTGACACCTTTACGGGGGGGGGGGGCAACATTGACACCCCCAAGTAATGTACATTGTGCGTCGTCCAAACAATACTTGGTCGCAAGAGGGCGGGCAACTGTAATAGTCACCGAACGACACAGGCCTCCTGCAGTAAGCCACGCAACTCGTCCGCTTGTTCCTCATCATTTTCGCTAATTTTACATTCTTTTTCATAAATCCTATTTAATGCAATTATCAAAAAAAGTTATTGCTTTCTGGAAATGTAGAAACTGCTGTACGTGCTCTTGGTCTTGCCTTTCAAACATCCTTATTGCTGCTGTTCAACTTTCATTGCGTAATGTATACAGAGTTCAAAGGTGACTTTCCAGAGCTCTTTGGATACGTGACTTCCATTTTTGTCCAGTCTGCTAATGGACACCACCATAACAGCAATGGGAAATGGCCACATATGGTGCAACGAGGTATTTATGAGGGATGCAGGGTCTGAATTTTCCGGCGTAACGCGGCTGCGAAATCCGAGACAATCCGGGCTGGGAAAAAAAATATTTTCAAGAAAGTCCGGAACATGCGGTCACGTGACTGTGAATTATTTTTGGAACGCAAGTACGCATCTTGTTATGCCAATGAAGGGCCTCGATCGGCTGAAATGAAAATCGCAAGTCGAATTAATTTCATGCTTCGTATACTTCATTGCATAAATTTGCATACGAAATATAGTATTACGTTGCTTGCCATCCATGCAAGTCAATATTATGAGCTGACCATTACTATGAGCGGTGAAATGACTATTGGACGGAAACTATGCATACGAGGTTTAAGGTCAATCAATTAAGACTCATTCAACAGGTCAGTTATTCAAATGATAGTGCAGGGTATCGAAAGATATCCAAATTAATTGATCATGAATCGATCAGTTAGTATATCAGTTAATCTGTCCAACTGGTCAATCATCGTGTCGATCGTTTGATCGTATACTACATGAATCAATAAGTTCTTGACAATTACTATCTAAATGTCCTTATAATAGCATACTGATCATAGGTGATCAATAAATTAGTGATCAATAGGTGGTCAATCTATGATCACGTAATGTTAATGGTCAATGGGCCATGTTCATGTTTTGATGGAATGCTTACGGTGTATTACTGTGACAAAATATATTTCAAAAGTATGAAAAGCATGAGTGGACAAGCCTGCATAAAGGAATACATGTGACAACTTCATTTGAAGTATCACATGTCTATGGCAAAGTTATGTAGTTTTAATAGTTACATGTTAAGTTAGACTCTCTGGCAATGGGTTTCTTTTTATCAGAATTAGCTGCGTCTCCCAGCCCGGCCAGGTCTTTTGTGACTTTCCACATCGACTCTCCTGACGTCTCACAACATTATAACGGCACGTGCTCGTATCGCAGTTGATTGTCCGGTACGTGTTGGCGCTATCTACCCCGCGCCAGCATCGAGCTGCCACCACAAGCACAGGCCAGAGCTGCCACCACTCAAGTACTCGTACTATCAGAGTCCCACACGAGCAACGTTGATGACCTTGTCGCTTCCGTGTACCAGTTGACCCCATGCAAAAAGTGGTTGGGATACAACACACAACACAAGGCCTTAATATTTGACCGTATGTACACATGTACATGTACATGCCTACGTGTGGTACATTTCAACTTATGTCACTTGTCACTGTCAGAACCGGATCTTGTGCGTGAGTGTTCAGCCTTGTATAAAAATTATGATTTGGATGGCGATGATGATGCTGCAGTTATCAATGGAGACACGGTCTTGCCGTTGAATGTTAGTTGGGAACACGATACAGTTGTGACCATAAGCTCGATGGACACACCAGCGTTGATGTTTCATCAGTCATCACTGAATGATGAATCGTGGTCGACTCCCTTTTTTACGCGACCAGTTCAGTTTAGATATGATTTAACGGTACCATTATTTTACTCGTGCCCACTCGGTTTGTGAAGGATAACTTCTGTGGTATGACGTGACGGGTGATTGTATCTGCTAAGTGGTGCCAGAGGAAGTCAAGCGTGCGCGTTCTTTCTGTGAAACACTCTTTGAAAACGGGTACCGGGACATAGCGAGCTGCTCTCACAGTGCAGGAAAGACTGACATTCAATGACTCATGGCCATGCATGAGAGATATGGAACTGATCAACTTCTATGGGTGTCAGAACGGGCCATGTCGTGCGGTCCCGGGACGGGGAGTTCCGGCACCGAGTGTGTGGGCCCAGGCCGCGGTGCTTGCGGCGCTACGGTCGGCCGGGCGTGCCGGTGCGGACACGGTGGCCACTCACTCACGGGCGGGACCCCTTCGTCGTCTGCATCTGGTCTCCGCACCGCTGAAGAAAATCACTTCTGTTACCTGCGTACACGAGGAAGCAATTACCCATTTACAGATATGAGGACCAGGTCGCCAGAATTTAGAACTGCATTATCAGGAATCGATTCTAGATGGTTCAAAGTCAAACGACTCGCATGGATAGTTATTTTGGTGTTTGCCCTGACATCGCCCTTAGCAGCTGATGGTAAGTTACAGAGTCGAATTTCGTGTTACAACTTATTGACCCTTTTCGTCTACCCGCACCTATATTGTTTTACTTTATTGCATATTGTATTACTTGTAAACCTGTGGTAAATTCGCAATTTGTAAAGTTACGACCATCCTTAAAAGTATTTACTGGTAGCCTAAAAATAACGAATACAATATCCGGTGCCATGTGCACTGAGCTTGCGAAAGCTGACATTTCTGGGACTGAGAAAAAAATTTTTTTAAGGAAATAAGCCTACTTCTAGAAAATGTTCTTGGCCCCCGATAGACTCTGCACCCAACCAAGTGGAGTCATGATGCAACATTGTTTTCTTCAATTTGTCCTTCCTATTGGATGACATCAGAGCCGAGGACAGGATGGTTTTAAGTGCCACCTCAAGGCTGTGCCATAGATTCATGTGTTTGATGTGCATGCGCATGGCAATGGCAGGCGAGCACATCCTGAATAGGATCCGGTTTTCTGAACAAGTTGTCATTTGGGAAGAATGGTCTATACCCCGTAGAACGCATTGAACGACGTACGCCTGCTACCCGTGTCCAATGACAGCAACATTATTTCTGATGTGGGACAGCGCGCGGTGTTGATACCGTACAAAATTGAGTCGCAAAGCGTGAACTTAGCCGTTATCTTTTCCCTTCATTATCGATTAGTCATCCAGTTTATCGATACACGACTATTATGTGACTCATTCTTTATCCGACAGGATTGACTAGCGGTGACGTAACCGGTCAAGAATGATGCACGGGGTAGTGACTATAGAGCTAATGTTGCTATAATGTCGCCCTTCAAAACAGAAGCAAAAATCGGTCCTCCCCCCCCCTCTGTAAAAACAAGGAACAATGTTCGTGATTTTATTTTGAGTCATATACCTGGTTTCCTCCGTGCATGTGTCTCACTTGGTTGCGAAGTCACGATAACGATAAACAGGATGTTGTTAGAGGAGTGAGTTCGCAAATCGTGCTACTCAAGCTGAGAATTATCGCGCAAGCTCGAAGTTGAACATGTATTCATTCGAGGCGATTGAAAAACGGTGTGCCTGAGTCGAGCCTGCTCACGAAGGTGTGGACTAACGTTGAATCCGTCTCGACAAAACCGGAAGTCGAAATCTGAAGATTCACCTATGTATCTCTACTGAAAACACGAATATTACTTCATCCATTATTATAAATTGAAAAGGACGGGAGTGTTGCCCCGGACCTCAAGGGTTTCAGGCTGGAATTGGCCCGGAACGAGATTCAGCGAAAAACTGTTGGAAATTGAGGATTTTTTTTACCATAAGTTGAACCTCTGCCTAATTAGCGAGCAAACAAGCCGGCAAACGTAAACGAACCTAGATCATTACTAGCGCTAATGGAGAGTCGTGATGGATAGCGGTTTCATATTACTTTACAGTTATTTTACCCATCTGCTTCCTGAAAAGTTAGTATTGTGTTCGACTGTAGAATATGATGACTGTTTTGCCACGAATTCTAACAAATCCATCCAAAATAAGCCTCTTGTGAGTTCAATTCGAATCAAATTTTGTACACTAAGTTATCTGATTGCACTTAAAGATAACGCTTTGAATTCCCCAGACTAAAGACATTCTTGCCATACCTCGTGATTTGGGCAAGCTTTTCATAGCGACCACCATCTCTGGACTGGACTGGTTCCTTTTTGTGCCCACATATTCATTGAAAACAGCGCAAGGCGTCTCTCACAAGCAAAGGCTTGCCCCGAATCACGGGGTACAGTACAGCAACAGTGTCTCTACCATGGAAGATTCAAATGGTTATGTTCTCTTGAATTTAAAGAACTCAGTGTACCATATTGTATTCAAATTTAACTCTTCAATGGCTTATTCAGTCTATCTTCTCCTTTTAAACCAAGCTGTAGAATATTGGTCAGATGTACGGTGATTTTCTCAAAATCTGCGCCCAGGAATACAACCAACATTACATAAATTATTTCACGAAAAAAAATACGAGCATGATCAGCGATAAAGGAAAAAAAATGCCACAGACTGTATTGATACAGCAGTCGTAAATCTTCCCACATCTGCTCGACCCGACCCGAGCTATCACCTCATTTACAGAAAGTAGCGAACCGTTGACGAGATAGAATGATAATGACACTCCGCCGATATGCATGCATACGCCGTGGCTATTTGAGGGTAAACTCTTCATTTCATGAAAACATGAAGATCACGTGAACTAGGTTATTGGTCATTTCACGCACCCCATGCAGGAACAAAAACAGATCCTAAGAGAGTGTACTAGAAACCTTGTTACAGTTTAAAAAGCGGAAAAGGAGTTGCAAATGGCCTAATCTCCCGGCCCAAAAATACATTTCATCTAAAAAGTAGCTGATGAAAAAAGGTGCACATCATACAAAAACATCTAAAACTTCGTTTGAGTGACGTGAGTGAGCTCAGTGAGGTTTTCATCGAAATTACGCACTCCTTTAACAGGTTGAGTGCCCGTCCGTGGCAGGAGTACATGTACATGTAGGTTTAGCATTAGCACAGACGCGATTTTGCATATGTTTGTTTTATGCATGAGTGTCCTTTGTACCGGAAATGACGTGTTACATAAGATGTCCAGTTTTCGTTCCGTTGAGATCCCCAGAGTTCGTTATCAATGCGCCTGTTGTGACCTTTTATTGTTGTATAGTGGATTAAACTTTCAATCAACCTTTAACTGTGGCGGATAATCTGTAATCATCAGGTTTTTCCATGGTCACTACACCGCTTCCATCACCTCCAGTTTAACCATCATTTACGGCAGTATTGTCATCATTCGCTGTATTCCTTTGTCGTCACTGCTCGTTGTCGTCAGTAAGGCACCACCATCATCATCATTCCTTGTTTTCAATCCTCATTCTGCATCATATTATCATCCTTGGACCTGTCGCCTCCAGTAGACGTCATTGTCCCGTATTTGCTGAAGCCAACACTCGCCGTTCCTTCATCTCAATGAGCGCGTCACCGTCTCGGCTTCATCCCATCAGTTCACGGTCTCCTGTCCTCTCCATCACCGTGAAAAATACTGTCCATCCCTCGCCTTGGCTCGTCACTCCGCCAGCAGATTCAAACAACATAATCATCGACCCCCCCCCCATATGCGCCGAGGCTTTGGGGAGACAAAAAACCCATCACCGCTCGAACTGAGTCCCCTTTTTTTTGTCGCCCCGCAGTAATACTCGCCGGTCAAATCCGTAGGGGCTTGTAAATCGGAAAGGTTGGGGACTAGCAACGCGCTGCGCTGAATTTGGCGGCTTGCTGCCGAGCGGGGCGGCGTGTCAACATTGATTCGGTAACGGGGCACAGCCAATATTGGCGCCTAAACAGAAAGGTCAATGCGCCTTGACGTTTTTTTTTTGGGGGGGGGTCTGCTTTTTGCTTCCCCCTCTTAAAGGGCTCAGTTTTCTTAAAGGGTCTGCTGGTTTGACGTCACAGCTGTGGCAGCTCAAACTATGGCCGGCCGTCAGTACAAAACTGAAAGAATAATTCACCGAGTGTTCAAAATCTCACTCAGCTAGCACAACACAATACACGTTTTACTGAATACTCAATGAAAATACAAGCCACTTGAACATGAATGGGACAAACGCACAGTTTGAATGTATTTGAGGTAAACTTGAAAACCAATCAAAGCGTTACTTTCGGCAAACTTTGGTCAATATGAGAGGAGTTTGTACCAATGATCTGATTGGATCGGTTTCTAATGCACAAAACACAATAGCTTAGAATTGGTCCCCTCTAAAATTGGTCGTTTTTACATCATAAACTAATGTACCATAGAATCTCTGGGCCTTTTTCTATGAAACATGTACCTCCCCCCCCAAAAAAAAGATTGCAGCGGCACGCCCCTCACGCTGCACCGAACGCCCTTATTTTATGGAATGTCTAGTCTCCACCCTTGAACTTTAACAGCTAAAGGCCACGTGCTATGCAATGCGCGGTATGCAGTCCTTTCAATGCGTGGCTTGCGCTTGATAATTGAATGCGGCCACACATGAAGCGGTTGTTGCAAGATACGCACATTGTTTCTTATGGAGACGCTACCGTGGTGCTGTTAAAGTGCAGCTGCAATGCTATTTGTCTTGGGCAGAATTTTTCTGCAACTGTATACTCTTCTTCAGTAAAAACTCTCTTGCTTTCTAATTTGGTTGAATGCATTGGAAAGTGAACTTTAATTTTTTTTTAACTTATCCATGCTTTCCTAGAGGGCGCTATTGCGGTGATGTCATCTAGGGAAGACATGGCCCAGTGCATAGGTTTTTGCTTACTGAAACCATTTCTGAAAAAGAGACTGGTACTTGTTTGCTGCTATGCACATTAACAACGAATCAGCAAAGAAGATGAAATAATTCAGTTAAGCAAAATCTACATAAACTGCAGTTTTTTTGTAAATTGTACAGACCAGCGTAACAGAGACTTTCTTCCTGGGATGACATCACAGTTTTGCTCATGAAAACGGAAACACTCATTAGCATAACGCCGATAAGGCAGTAAAATACCCTTTGAAATAGTGACACAAAAGTTGAAAAGAAGGTTATCCGAGACAAGGACACATTTCGAACAACGAACTTAAAACAACTTGACTACTGCTACATACCCTTTTAAAAATGGGCTGAGATTATTTTTCTGACCCTCTTTGCGGGATCTGTCCTTGGATGCTAACATGACTGCATCACATTTCCTGAAGCTCACTAAGTCTTTACTCACTTCGATTTTTCCCCAAATGATGACTGTTTCCTATAGTGATATGTGGAGTATCAATTCGAAGTTTTCTCGAAGAACTCGTAAAAGGCTTTCACATCGGCACTGCAACTGGTTCAGCGGATGCTTGTACATGTACATGTACATGTTTATTTCTCTGTTAGCGGTCGGTAGCAACAGAACAGCGCATTCGACCTCATTCTTCGGTTTCACAAATCCCGCCTCTTTGCTGTGGGGTTTGCCGTCAGAACGCCATTTTCTGTTGTCGACCACC